CCAGGGATTTTGGATTCAAATCCCAGGATTTTGGGTTCAAATCCTTGGATTTAGGATTCAAATCCTTGGATTTTGGGTTCAAATCCTTGGATTTTGGGTTCAAATCCTGGGATTTTGGGTTCAAATCCCGGGATTTTGGGTTCAAATCCTTGGATTTTGGGTTCAAATCCCAGGATTTTGGGTTCAAATCCTGGGATTTTGGGTTCAAATCCTGGGATTTTGGGTTCACATCCCGGGGTTTGGGTTCTGCCAGGGCCCCTCAACCAACCCAATTCGCGGGTGTTTTGCCCTAAATTCCCTTCCCAGCTGGAATTTTCCCCCTTTTCCTGCTGCTTTTCCATCCTTTCATTCCAGGGTTGGGTTCAAAAGCCACGACTTGGGTGAAAAATCCCTTTTTTGGGGCTTTTTGAACCCGATTTCAGGCTGTGAGAAGCCCCAAAAATCCCCTCCCTGGTGGCACTTGGGGGAGTTTTCCCCAAATCCCACATTTTGGGGTTTGGGGGGGCTCGTTTTGGGGGGGATTTCCTTGCCCTGTTTTGGTTCTGAATTCAGTTTTTAGCCAGTTTTGATAATTTTTAAACACTGGGAGGATTTTACCTTCAAAATTGTCCTTTTTTTCCCCCTCAGTGTCAGCAAAATGTGCACTTTTCCCCCATTTTTACCCATTTTCCTGCTCTTTTTCCAGCTCTGGGTGATCCCACTGGGATATTTGTGGTTCAGTCCGTTGTTTTTTGCACTTTTTTCACGTCAATAATTGGGATTTTGGGGTAATTTGGAGGATTTTGGAGGGGTTTGGGCTCCGTGGAAAGTCCCTGCTGGAATTGGGGGCAAATCCCTGTTTGGAGGAACTTTTAAGAGGGTGGAAAAATGGGGAAAGAATTCCCAGATGGGGCAAAAATGAGGGGGGAAAAAAGGCACAAAAAGGCTCCAAAAAGTGCTGAGAAACAGCAACAAAAATAGTGGAAAAATGGGGTGGAAAAGGTGCAGAAGGACCCTGAGACACTGCAGGAAAAAGTGGGAAAGGCGGAAAAAGGGGAATAAAAGGTAAAAAAAGAGACAGAAAAGGCATAAAAATGGGCACAAAAATTAATAAAAAGGGGCAGGAAACGTCAGAAAGGGGCAGAAAACAGATAAAATTGGGCAAAAGTGTGAATTAAAAGGGGCAGAAGAGGCATAAAATGGGGAAAATGAATAATAAGGGGTAGAAAAGGCATAAAAAGGGGCAAAAAATAGGAATTAAAAGAGGCCAAAAAAGGTTAAAAGAGGAAGAAAATACATTAAAAAGGGGGAAATGGGAATAAAAGGGAGAGAAAAGGCACAAAAAGGGGCAAAAATACGAATAGAAATGGGCAGAAAGAGTCAAAAAAGGGGCAGAAAAGGCATAAATAGGAACGAGGGAATAAAAGTGGGCAGAAAAAAGGCAAAAACGGTGCAGAAAAGGGTGGGAAAGGCACAAAAAAAGGGCCAAAAAAGGCCTCAAATTCCACAAAAGCTCCCCCAGAAAAGCTGCAAAAATGAGTCCCATCCCACCCCCCACACCCCCCAGATCGGTGAAATTGAAGTTCAAAAAGAGGAATTTGAAGGTTTTCACCCCAATAAAATCGGAATTCACCCCCCCCAGAAACCCCATTAAAAACCCCAAACTCCTTCTGCTTCTCCAACGGGATCTTCCCAAAGAAATGGGATCGGAAACGCGATTTTTGGTTAAACCCCCCACCCCCCACCACCATTTCGGAGCTTCACCGGCATCAAATTAAGGCCAAATGAGGCAAATTCAGGATTTTCCTTCCTCCCTCCACGTCTTGGCCACGGAATGTTCCTTTTCCCACTTTCCAGCGGGGTTTTTTCACCAAAAGGGGAGTTTTTTTCCCCCAGAAAGCTCCGGAGTTTCCCGGAGGATCCCGATCCGCCGCCGCTGAAATCCCATTTTTTTTTCAACATTCCTCAAGCTGCCGTTTTGTGGGAAAAATGGGCTGAAATGGATTGGATTGGTGGGAAAAATGGGCTGAAATGGGGGGTTTTTTTTAAGGATATTCCTGGTTTTCCAAGTGAGACCTTGGAATCCCATGGGGTCAGTGTGTGGACTGGAAAATGAGCTGAAATGGGATTTTTTTAGGGGATTCAGGGAAAATCTCCATGGGCTGAATCCCGATTTCCATCATTTTGGCTGAAACTGGGAATTTTAAAGGGATTTGAAGTGCTGTGGGGAGGAAGGAAAGCAGGAGGGGTCACGTCCTGCTCCTGGACTTGGTTTTCCAGGTGAGACCCGGAATCCCCATGGACTGAGGGGGAAAATGGGCCGAAATGGGGTTTTTTGAGGGATATTTTTGGTTTTTCAGTCTGAGCCCCCCCAAAATCCCCTCAGGCTGAGGGGAAAACTGGGTTTAAATGTGGGGATTTTAAGGATATTTTTGTTTTCCCGGATGAAACCCTGGAATCCCCTCAGGCTGAGGTTGGAAATGGGCCGAAATGTGGCTTTTTAAGGAGAGTTCTGGTTTTCCAAGAGAGACCTTGGATTCGTCACGGGCTGAGGGGAAAATTTGGCTTAGATACGGGATTTTAGGGAGATTTGTGGTTTTCCGAGTGAGCCCTGAGAATCCCCACGGGCTGAGGGGGAAAATGGGCTGAAATGTGTTTTTTTTAAGGATATTCCTGGTTTTCCAGGTGAGACCTTGGAATCCCACGGGGTCAGTGTGTGGACTGAGGGGGGAAATGGGCTGAAATGGTTCTTTAAAGGGTATTTTTGGTTTTCAGGGGAAGCCCCAGAATCTCCTCAGACTGAAGGGATAACTGGGGGTAAATGTGGGATTTTAAGGATATTTTCGGTGCTCCATGTGAGCCCCCTGCAATCACCTTAAGCTGAGGGGGAAAATGGGCTGAAATGGGTTTTTTGAGGGATTTTTCTGTTTTTCAGGGTGAGCCCCTGGAACCCCCTCAGGCTGAGGGGAAAACTGGGTTTAAATGTGGGATTTTAGGGAGATTTGTTGTTTTCCGAGTGAATCCCCTGAGTCCCACAGGCCCAACACGTGGACTGAAGGGGAGAATGGGCTGAAATGGGTTTTTTGAGGGATATTTTTATTTTTCAGGGTAAGCCCCTGGAACTCCCTCAGGCTGAGGGGAAAACTGGGTTTAAATGTGGGATTTTAAGGATATTTTTGGTGCTCCATGTGAGCCCCCTGCAATCACCTTAAGCTGAGGGGGAAAATGGGCTGAAATGGGTTTTTTGAGGGATTTTT